CTAGGGAAAGGTAGCCGTAGAAGAAACCATGCTTCAGAGCTGCATAGTGATGATTTTGCTCTCCTTTTAACCACACCCAAGGGGTTCAACCGTGCGAGAATGCTGGCTTGTCACTGTTCCAGAACTGCTTATTTTTAGGCATTATTCTCATGAGGTTCTCTGTAAAAATAAACAGTGGCACAGTACAGTAGTAACCATTCTGCCTCACAATATGGATGAGACCGTGAGTTAATGTTGATTGGGAGGTGCTGCCTCTCTGCGTGTTCTGGGAAGCTGCGATACATGGAGATGCAAGGCAGCATCATAGACTTCAGTTGTAGTAAGCATATTGTCATTTTAGAAATGAAGCTGTAGTTGGAAAAAATATTTTGGGAAATCTTAATATTCTGTCAAAAGGTGTGTGTTTTCTATGTAAGAAGTTCAGTTTTGAATAGCTTCCATTTATTGTCCTGTGTAACCACCTCAGCCTGGAAAGGAGAGGCCCATTTTAGTTATCCTCTAGTTGGAAAATAAGGTCAGTCACAACAATACAGCCCCCTGCTCCTTCTCTGCATTGATGTACATCTTATATGGAGAGTATTGGGGAAGCGCATCAGGTTTGGGTAAAGAAATGTCTGTGTTTCTGTGCCCCACTGAACTGCTGAAAACTGGGATGACTCAGATTTTTAGTTAGCTTTTGAAAGTACTGTACCCAGCAAAGGGACCAGACAAACCTCGGAGGGGAGATTATTCCAAAGATGAGGAGCCACTGCCGAGTAGGCCTGGTTTCTTGTTTTTTCTTTACGGGTCTCCCTCGGCTTTAGGCTCCTCAGCTGCACCTCCTGGCTAGATTGAGTGATACGGGTAGATCTAGGTGGGAGGAGGCGTTCCGCCAGATATCAAGATCCTAAACCGTTTAGGGCTTTATATGTAATCATTAAGACTTTGAAATCAATGCGGAAACGAACGGGCAGCCAATGCAATGTGGCCAGGGTGGGAGAGATATGTTGATGTTTTCTCACCCCACTGAGAAGTCTGGCTGCCACATTCTGCACCATTTGGAGCTTCCGCATCAGTCTCAAAGATAGCCCCACATAGAGCACATTACAGTAGTCTAATCTCGAGATTACAAGCACATGGACCAAAGTATGTTGATTCATGGTGGCAAACTAGAGAGGAAAATAGTTGCCCTCAAGCCCAGCTGGTGGGCTTCCTGGTTGGTTAATGTGGGAAATGGAACAGTGGAGCAGAAGGACACTAGGTTTGATTCCACAAGACTCATTGAATATTCTTATGTTTACAATTCCTTTTTCAGACAGAGAGGTTACTCCCTCATTTCAGTTTTTCCCCCCAAATAGTTTTTGTGGGATGTGTCAATGATGAAAGCTGCATGAAGAAAGTCTGATTCATCGTATCTATGTTTATGTGATTATGAAGGCTGTACATAAATGAAAAAGAAAGATGACTTTTGTCCTTGCAACAAATGTTGATCGAGGGGGTGGGGAAGGGTTACTTAGTATTCATCTGAATTGTCATTCATTTATCTTGGAGGGCTGGAACCTTTCTCACTTGTAGAATGAGTGATGGCATATTTTGAGATGAAATCTGATCATGGACAGTCATTCTGAAGTGTGATGAAACAACTGGGAGGCATATTGAATATACATTCTGAGCCATTTGCTTTCAACATGGTGAATGTGTGTTCAAATTAGTGCTGTGCCAGCTGACTCACATTTTTAGTGACTTTCAGTACCTATGTTGCTTTTGTGGGCTGAGTGGATGGGGTGGCAAATTACCTACTGTTAAGTGATGGGGTGGTCTTTTCTCTCTTTTAAACAATTTCAAATAATGTATTTCAAGTTACAGCCCTTAATACTCTCAGCAATGGCAGCAAGTAACAATATACTGTTAGTTCGGGTCCACAACAGAGAAACAAATATGGCTGCCTTCATTGTATAGATTAATGACTATTCAAAAACATTGCACCTTCTCAAAGAACAAAGATTATTTGCAGTCTAATTTTTGTTATCAATTTGAATGAGACAAATACCGGACTGTCTGAAGGAGTGTATCTTCCTTTAAGCCCAGGACTTTTGTTATTTAGGGTAAGCCTTTCTCTTAGTCCCCCTACTCTCACAGGCCCACTTAGGCACATTTCATTTAGACGTGAGGAAGGGCCTTCTTGGTGGCTACTTCCTGGGTGAGAGCCCTCTTCCATAGGAAGACAAGCTGCTTCGCTATCTGCCCACTTCCTGCCAGGAGGCAAAAACCTTTCTATTTTGACTGCCCTTTGTTTACTGTCTGTCTGTTGTGGAACAGTGTGAATTATACAGTTTCTTCTCTTGTGGTTGCAAAAATAGCACAGTGGTTTAGGTCTCTTGCTGTGAAGTTAGAGGTTGGAAGTTTGATTCCCCACGGTGCCTCCTTAACAGGAGCTGGACTTGATTATCATTAGGGTCTCTTCCAGCTCTGCAGTCCTCAGGTTATTATTATTGTTACTGATGATGTTGTTGCTGCAGATTATTTAGCTCACTGCTTTTTAACATGATAACTTATGTAATTATTTTAAATATTATAATTCCTTTTTTAACCAAGCACTGTCTGTTTCATTTCATGTCGTGAACTGCCTTGGGTCATGCAATAGCAGAAATATGGGGTGTAAGATAAGAAAATAAATAGCCTGTAGAGACATGTGAGGATGTCCAGAGGTAGGGTGCTGAAGAAAGGATGCAGAGTAGTATGTGTGGAAGAAGAGGCAGGAACCAGAAGAGGAGGAGGAGGAGGAGGAAGAGGACGAGGAAGCAGCAGCTTGAGGAAAAGGAGTGAAGAGACATGATACTGAAGCAGGAAGAAGCTAATAAGGGGGCTCACAACATTTGGACCAGGCTTGCCCAAGGGCTGCATGCGGCCCAGGTCAGCTCGTAATGCGGCCCAGTGCAATTTTTTATTTTAAAAGAAATTCCAAAGTTTCAAGTTACACTGCCGGCGCTTGCGGCCGGAATGTGGCCTGGGCATGTCACAACAGTAGAGGGGGAGAGAGGGAAGGAAGGAAGGAGGAGGAGGGGAGAGGGGGGCTGTGTGACTGCATTGCGCCGTCCCCGTCAATAGGTGGACCCCTCCCAGCCCCATAAAACCACTGGAGGTGAAGCTGGCAGCCTCTGCTGTCTGAGATTGCAGCTGCCGGTAAGCGCGCTTGGAGCGGGGCTGCGGAGGACAGGTAGGGCTGCCCCCCTCATGCGGCCCAAACCAAACGTATGTGCGGCCCAAACCAAATTTTCATCTTCTAATGTGGCCCAGGGGAAGGCAAAAGGTTGGACATCCCTGATTTAGACAATAGTATGCATGCTGTGCAGGGAGGATTAAGAGGGAGGTTTGCCAAGAGACAGGCTTCCTAAGGAAAGCTGGAAGAAGACAGCAGTGCAGCACGAAGTTGAGGAAAATATGGATGTGGAGTCAGGCAGTAGGAGAGAGAAGGAGTTCAAAGGAAAAATAATTTGGTCAGAATTTTCATGCAGGGCCTGTGGACAGAAGGAGCTGTGTTCTTGTGCTGAGAAGAAAGAGACAAGCAAGGGAAGTTTGCTGGGCTGGTGTTTCTGGGTCAGGGAACCAAGGGACCACTGAAATTGCTAGAGCTGAAGCGTAGACTGTGGTAGCATTAACAGAGTGCAGACTTCTATCAGTTGTGGCCTCTACCACAGCATTATGTTCTGGCAACCTTAGGAGGCAAGAAGAGAGGGAAACAAAATCCAAGGCTGGGACACTTGAATTGTACTTACAGGTCTGACTTTGAGAAATGGGTACAGCCTTCCAGCATTCCTCTGAATCATCTCTGCTAACCGTGACTGAAGAAGATTGGATGTAGCATCTTTTTACTAGCACTGCCCACAAGAACTGAATGAGAATGGCAGTGGCCAGTAATGAGACAGCCAGCAAAGGCAAAAGGCTTTTCTTAGATCTTCTTCTTCCTCCCACCCCACTCTTTGACTCAGTCAGGACCAGTGCTTGCAGACAGAGAGGAGTTCCTTAGATTCATCACACAGCAATCTTTTAACCAGGGCTCCTTGGCAACCTAGCAGCTTTCTGGAAGACTGACAGTTCTGCATTTCATTCCTGTTAAGTGTTTTAGGTTTCACACACTCTTGGATAAGTACTTCTAGAAACCACAGAATTAAAATAATACATGACTAATATGCATATTTTAAAATGTAAGTTAGTTTTGTCTGTGTTCATGTTTTGCATCCAAGGCTATAAGAATATATGGCTACATTTGGTAACAGACATTCTCAGTGCCAGCTATTTTGCATACAGAATTTGAGAAAAGAAGATGACACCATGAAGTCAAAAATACCAAACAACCTTGGAAAAATGCTGCCTATTATATACACTGTATGCCAATAATTTGGGTATGAGAAACATCAGTCCAGTCTGAAAAACATACAGCTTAGGCAGTTTCATGGGAGGGATCATAAAATGTATTATGGATGCCATCCTTTTTGTCTCTAGCCTGATCTAAAATTAGACCATTACACCATTACGCCACACTGTTCATTTTGCTTCCAAGTGACATCCCCACCCTTCCAACTAAGGTCAACACTTGTAAAACTGTGGCTGCACCATTCAGAAAGCAGTTACTACTTTTGTTTGTTTCCCACTATGCTATGTGGTCCTGCCTGGATGAAAGTTCTCTGTATTAAAATTCACATTGTACATTACAGGAAATTGGCTTTGGAGGTTGGGGTCCCCTCACATAAAGCTAGGGTGAGCATAGATCTTATTAGACTGAGGGATCACAGGTGGCTTATTGCAGAATTTCTGAGACTTGCTGTCTGTCCAACACTTGTCAACAAGATTTTTCTTTCAGCAGTAACTAGAAAGTAACTTAGTTTCCTTTTGGTTTCCTTTTGGGGAGAAGAATGTGATTTCCCCACTTACCATATGTTATGATTGCAGTGGCTATTTATTAAGTATTCTCTTGCTGTAACCAGTGTCTTTCTAACTGCTCCTCTCTCTTCATTTTATAGGAGGCCCAGAAGATAAATGTCACTGCGGAAACCCAGGCAGACGGCGACTTGAAACCCACAGATGAGAAAGAGGAAACTGTGGCAGCAGAAGTGGGCTGGATGACCTCTGTTAAAGACTGGGCAGGGGTGATGATTTCAGCCCAGACCTTAACCGGCAGAGTCCTTGTAAGTTTTCTCATTCTTACTTCAGTTTCTCACCAGTTTTTCCCAGTGGTGGCTTCAAATAGCTAATATAATCATTAAAAGTATGAGAAACCGACATAGACAATAATATTTCTCTTTGGTAGCTACCTAATATCAGGTGCAAACAAATGGTTTCACATGCAAACTCCTAATAAAGGATGAACCCTACAAACAACGAGGCTATTACTTGATGGTGTTACTCATTAGAATAGAAAATGTGGTCACAGGAATCACTCTCAGTATCCATAAGTATCTGAATTGTTAGCAAGCTCAAAGAAAGTAAAAGGGGCTTATCTTCCCAGAAAATATTGGCCCAAATCCTGTTGATTAGTTATGCCTGTGGAAGGCAAAGGATGTAATTTGCAATGGCTTCTCTCTGGCATACACCATTCTGGTGGGTTGAATGCACTTGAAAATCCAAGTGAGGATTTGTTAATTAGTAGCAAGAAGCCCATAGTACCGTATATTTCCGTGTATAAGACGCCCCATGTATGAGACATGCCCCACTTTTCTAATCCAAAATTAAGAAATCTAAGTGGGCCTTAGCAAGTGTAGGGGGAAAGGGATAAAAGCGTTCCAGAATTGCTTTGGTCCAGTGGTGGGATTCAAATAAATTAACAACAGGTTCTATGTCCTAATGACCATTTTAACTATACCAAAATATATACCGAAAGGTAGTTTAATAATTCATGCATTAAATACTGCAGTAAGAAAAGTAAAAGAAGTACAGACAACTAGATTATGTTTAAAGGAACATTTTTACCTGACAAACAGTTATTGAAGATATTTCCATATTGCTGTTTGATTGCCCCTCCTGCTTGGTCTGCAATCCACAAAGACCTTGCAAGGGGAGTGTGAGGAGTCTACTATATTTTGTCCTGTTTCTCCCCTGCCTTCTCCGAGGGGGTGTAAATTGGGAGGGGAGCAGATGGGAAGTCGGAGTGGTCTCGATCTTGCCCCCCCAGCAAGACACATGGGCTCTTTCTGTGCTTTCCTGCGAGGAGATCCCCCTCGTTCCCCAAGTCCTAAGGCACCCTTTTTTTGGGGGGGGTGGTGGCAAAGGTTTTCCTTTCTCTTCCCCCAAGAAGGAGAAAGGGGGGGGCTTCTCTGAAATGCTTGGCAGACCCTATTGGTGGGGGGAGGAGGAAGAATAAAGAGGCTCTCCTGCCCCCCACAAGGATCTCCCCTCTCCTGTTTCTGCCCCATTGAGGCTCCGCCCCTTCTGCTTCTCCCCTCCACCCACCCGCTTTGGGCTCACCCCTCCTGCCCCCGCCCCTCTTTCCCTTCAGGAAAACTGAGAGCTATCAAAGGGGGAAAGACCACTTTGTGTGGGGGGGTGGATGGGCTTCCTCACGAGTTTTCTGCCAGAGGACAAGCAAGGAGGTCAGCAATAGGGGGTCCAGGCCCGGGGTGGGAGCTAAGGAGTTGCAGAGAGATATTTTTAAAAATATCCAGAAAAAAGGCTTCCTCCCCAGAGACCGTGCAATCTGGACTGGGCCCCTCCTCCCACTGCAATGCAAGAAGGCCTTGCTAGGGGGGGGGAGACGTCTATTTATTGTTTTGTGTGCCAGCTCCTCTTCCCCCTTCTTCCCCCAGATCCTACAGGCACCCTTTGGTGGGGGAAGGAGGGGCTGTCGGCAGTAGTGGGATTCAGCAGGCCAGCAAATGGTTCTGCAGAACCGATAATACATTAGGTATAACTTCTGTAGAACCGGTGCGAAGCGGCTGAATCCCACCAGTGCTTCAATCCCTGCTTTCCTCTCCACTTGTTTTTGTTCTCTCCTCAGCTTACTTCCATGTATAAGACAACCCTCAATTTTAGTCTAAATATTTTAGACAAAAGTATAGTCTTATACATGGAAAATACAGTAAATTATGCCTTTTGCCTTCAGCAGGAGTGACTAAGTAACAGGATTTTGGAACAGTATGACAAACACATACTGATTATTTTTAGATAAACTCTTTTTATGTTATTTTTACATTAGACCTACTAATCACATTTCTACATTGAATACCAAAACAATAGGTTTATTCCAAATGCAGGGAAATGTAGTGGCTTGGAGTAGTTGAAGTCATGAATTGTTGTTTCAGCAATGATAAAATATTCGCTACAGGCTATCATTTTTGTTGTCATATTTTGTAACTGCTCCAAGCATAACACTTGTATTCATAATTTTGTATTTACGCCTCACTGTTACATTGTAAAACAAATCTGAAGAGTCTGAATTACAGTGTTCTTTCCCTTCCTTTTATTTTATAATGCCAGTTATGCTAATTATGAAAATGTATATAATTTTACAATCTAACCATGAGCAATTTCATATGGAACAAAACTAGTTTTAGAAAAGGCCCTGAATCTCTGATTGAAATTTGCGGGTGAGTAGGTAAAACAGTACTAAAATACTGAGTACTTGAAGTTGTTGATGATGTTTATAAACCCACAAATACCACTGCAGGTCAGTGAAACATATTGTTGTATATGGTGTTATTCTTGTGCATTTATTAAACTGTTATTTCAGTGGAGCATTATCTTATAGTTGAATAAGAAAACCAGAAATGTGGAATTTTGGTGTATGGGGCTTCACTGCTCTTTTGGTTAACCGTAGGTCTTGTGAGATTGGCAGACATAGGGAGAAGATGGAAGAATGGGCAGGAATGGCAGGATATAAACATGGCAACCATATTGCCTCTGCATCAAACTTGCTGATTTTGTGTTTCTTTCTGCCTGGAAAGGAAAAGCTGGAGGTGCACATTCATGCCCTCCCAGCAGCAAATACCAGTGGATGGGTATAGGCAGTCCCTGCTGCCTTCTCCATGATGCAGAGTTGAGCTGTAAATAAGCAAGGGATTTATTGAGAAACTAGGATAAACAACAAAAACCGAATGGGCTTACACTGTGCCACTACTGAAACTGGGGATCCCTAAAAAGTGTTTCCCTCTCTAAGTAAATAAATAAGCGTGGGAAGAAGGTAATTGTTTGTAGGTCACTGATGCTGGTGTGTTGATAAACCTCTTTTGTCCTCCAGGTGGTCGAGCACACCATGGAGGTGGGGTAGGCAGGGTGTGCTGCAGCAGGGGTGATATATGGTTACTGTCAGCTGGCCTTGCACCTTGCTCTCCTTAGCCTCTGCTTCATTGTACCAGAGCGCCTCAAGAAGATGGACGGCGGATGGAGCAGCAAAAGAGGTGGTGGCAAAAGGCCTTTCCAACTGGAGGTTAACCTGGCTCTGTGCTGGTTTAGGCCAGGGGATGAAGGGGTCTGCTGGAGGCTTCAAGAGGACCTTAGGGTGGGTTACTACAAATTGCTTCTGGCTGGGGTTCATTTGCTCCTTCACCCCCTTTCCCATGTGCTCCTGATCACCCCAGTAGGAGGGGCATTGCTGTTGTTGGGCCTGGTGAATATGTTCTGCCTCCTCCAGCTGGACTGTCAACTCCACCCACTCAACAGTCCATGGATCACAGTGGCATACCACCTCCTAGCCTTTGCAGCTTTGCTCCTCACCTGCCTCTGGGGCTTCTGCTTGGCAGACCTCCCATTCTGCCATGTCTATAGCATTCACCCACTGGTCTGGCTCCCTTTTATCCACCCCCCCCGTGAAGCATTACTCCCTCCTGCTCCTGCCTCCCCCTCTCGGGCTACTGGATGCCCCCTGTCATGCCATCTGCAGTCTCCCTGAATCTCCACTCTGCAGGGAAACGGCAGGAGGTAAAGTCTGCCAGCCTGAATGCTGAGGTTGAGGGCCTGCTGTGGGTTGGACCAGCCTCGGGAACGGGGTCGTCAGCAGTCCCACAATAGGTTTGTACCCTTCGAACAGCAAATATTTGTGTCTCCAAAATTTTGGTATCCTGGGTCAAAAGCTCTACTTCCCCTACACTAGTTAAAGTTTGTGTTATGTTTGAGATAATAGATATTACATTGTCTGGTTTTGAGCCTTGCCCACAAGGAAAGAATCCTCTTGATTTGTGGATAGCTATTTTGGATGTAGGCCTTGTAGCAGCAAAGCTGTTTTAGAACATGGATGGAAGTTAGATAGTATATGTGGGAAAATGTCTGTCTTCTAGGATACAGAGCTGCCGAAAAGCAATTGAGATTTATTGCCTACATTCGAGATGTAATAACTAGTGTAGTGTAGTGGTGAATTAGAACTCAGAAGGTCAGGGTTGGAATCCTTTCTCAGCCATAAAAACTCACTAAAGGGCATGGAACTGGTAAAACTACTCCTTAAATATCTTACTTTAAACCCTTATTAGGGCCTATATGAGCCATTTTCTACCTGAGGCCATGTAGCACACGCAACTGAGATGTAAATGTTGAATCCAAAGTTGTTAGGGTTTTGTTTGTTTGTTTGTTTGCTTAGTTGGTTGGTTGGTTTTGTTTTTGGGCATTAAGTGGTACATTTGATTTTTACATTCTTTCCTCCTATGAAAACCATTAAACATTGTTTGCAGTGGAAAAAAATCATTGAACGTTATTTGCAACCACAATGAAGCCTGGGCAACAGATAGGGGCATGACAACATGATAAACGAGAAAGAATCCAGTCATATCAGTGTTCAGCATAATCGCTGGGCAAATAGCATGGTCATCTCTCTTTATGTATTTGTGTGTCTCTTTTTATGATATGTCTGCCTGACTTTATATCTCATTATGCAGATAGCATGGCATTATGATATAAATATCAGGGACTTTTAAAGAGTGTAATAAGATTGATGCTCTTGCCAGGATCTATGGTTGTCTTGGATCAACTACAAATAATTGGAATTAGATTAACCAGCAATGCAGTTAACAGTTTTTATAATAAACACCCTTGTAAGACATACTGGCATCTTTATCACAAAGAGCAACAAGTCTCTGTTTAAAAAGAGCTTACTTTAAAATATAATAATAATTTTTTGAAGGCAGGGGATGACAAGTCTAGTTTCAGTCCTTCCTTTCTTGATAGAATTAATGTAACTCTAGTCCATATTCTATGTTTCATTTTC